TGACGTTAAGCTCCCCGGCGATATGCTCTGCCCGCACTTCGAACTGGTGCCGCACCGCCAGCAGCGCCAGCTGTCGGCTGACGGCCCGCCCGTCTGGGATGCGAGTGGAACCATGGTTGATGGCCGCTACTGCCTGGGTGTTGTCGCACCGGACCAGCACCCGGCGCCCCGCCAACCGTGGCGCCCAGGACTGCAGCGCCCGCAGGACCGCTGAGAGCTCCAGCCAGCCGATGTGCAGTCGTCGCTCCCCTTCGGACCAGTGGCCTTGCACCTCGGCCTGGTCCCAGGCCGCCCCGAAGCCCGCGCCACTCGCATCTGTGAAGATGGTGGCACCCTCTTCCCCCAAGAATTCCCCCCTCACCAAGTCCAGATTGGCCATAACACAGCGCTTGATGCCGTCCCAGACGGAGGAGTCCGGGCGGAGGACGCCCTGCCAGAAGCGCAGGTCATCAAGAGCCTCCTCGGGAAGGGCGACTGATGATGGCGGGGGGTATTGAAGGGTGCCGAGAGCGTCGTAGATGCCCTGAAGGAATGTGTAGCCCCATCTGCATGCTCGCGCCCCAAACGTGAGGCGGCCGGCGAGCGTCTGAAGGTCTCCTCCGCGGACGGGTCCTGTGGGGGCCGCCTCTATGATGGCGGTGACTTCACTGGCATATCGCTGCCGCTTGTTGGGGGCCATACCCATCTCCATGCGGATGGTGTCGAAGAGCATGCCCAGGAACTCCAGCTGCTGCAAGGGGGCGTCGCGCCCCCGGTCCTTGCTGGCCTTCCACTCGAGGCCCAACTCAGTGCCGATGTCGTCGAGGACCTGAAAGGCGCCCTGGACGTCCGCGTGCGAGTGACCCATGATCATGAAGTCATCTACGTAGACGAAGATGCGCGCCTGCAGGCCCCGGCGGTCGCACTCCTGCTGGAAAATGCTGGCGGCGGTGGTGGTAAGCTCCACGAAGATCGCTGGGCTTTGACTGGCGCCGAAGGGAAGGGAGACCCATCGCTGCAGCTCGCCGGTGGAGGGGTGCCGGAAGGCCATGAATCGGTGCGCCTCTGGTGCCAGCTTGACGTGGTGGAACCCGCTCGCCAGGTCGCACTTCCCCAGAAAGCCGTTGGCTGGCAGCTGTTCGAGAAGCGTGGCGAGATCAGGGAGTGGACAGGGGAGCTTGGTCATGCACTCATTGACCCCAGACCGAGAGGGGTCGGTTATGGGATGGATGGAGCCATCCGGCTTGAGGACAACGTGCAGGGGGTTGACGACGGCCGTGAAGTCGGTCTCGGAGCCATGCACGCTGGGGTCATATTGCTCGGTGACGCCGGAAGCCAGGAGGTCATCGAAGTGCTGGCTCATGTCGGCGAGGTGCGGGAGGATAGAGGGATAGTTACGGAGGTGGTGGGACGGGTTAGGCTCCGTGTGGAATGTCCAGACGGCCACGTTGCGGGACGCTGGCATGTCCACTCCATACCGCAGCCATGCCTCGGTGACGAGCTTGCTGCCCGCCTGCCCGAACCAAGGGCGCCCCGAGGCCGGATGGGGCGGTTCGGGGATCAAGGCCGCCGCCACTAAGGCTGACGCCTGTGCTACCACTGCTGCAGCGGCCTCTGCAGCTACTGCGTCGGAGACCATCTCAAGTTGCTGCGGACGCGCGGGGCCCGCACCTACACTCATCGAACGGGACAGGGGGGGGAAACCGAACCAAGCACCCCAGGAACAATCAGCTGCCAACCTCCTTATCCCCGAGGAGGGGGCCGATATCGCGGTGCGCGCCCTGTCTATCGCCCGATGGGGAGGGCAGCTCTAACCCGCAGCGTGTGTGGGGGGGGCCTCCAACTGGGCTAAACGTCAGCAAGATGCCTCCTTATCCCCGAGGAGGGGGCCGATATCGCGGTGCACGCCCCGTCTATCGCCCGACGGGGAGGGCAGCTCTAACCCGCAGCGTGTGGGGGGGGCCCTCCAACTGGGCTAAATGTCAGCAAGACGCCTCCTTATCCCCGAGGAGGGGGCCGATATCGCGGTGCATGCCCCGTCTATCGCCCGACGGGGAGGGCAGCTCTAACCCGCAGCGTGTGGGGGGGGGCCCTCCAACTGGGCTAATCGTCACACAGACGCCTCCTTATCCCCGAGGAGGGGGCCGATATCACGGTGCGCGCCCTGTCTATCGCCCGACGGGGAGGGCAGCTCGCGGACAAGGCAGGTACGACCCAACACAGGGCAACGCGGGGTAGTCCCTCCCCAAAACACTGACAGGCGCACTAAGCAAGGCACGCTGCACTATAACTCGGCCTCTTCATGACACGCAAGCAAGGCCCAAGGGGGACGGGGTGCACAAGCAACCCCTTATGGAACTCACGTTGGGCAGCGACGTCCGCTTGTTGTTGGGCGCCGGCCGCCTTGATGGGTATGCCCCCAGGCCCCGGCCGCTCCTGTGGCGTTCCAGGGAGGGGGCAAGCGGCGGCCGGCGCCTCCGCGACCTATGCTGAGGCTGGTGCCCCATGGGCGCCCGCCCGCAAGCGCGCCCGAGCCCTGTCGACCACTGCCTGCTGCTGGTTCCGGGGCATGGCCTGGAGTTGTGGGCAGTTTCGAAAGTGGTGGCCCCGCTGGTTGCAGATTAGGCACGTGATGTCCTCGGGGCCCTCTTGGGAGCCTCCCCCAGGGGGCAACGTGGCGGCGAAAGGCCGCTTGGAGCCGGACCGGCTGGCTGACTGAGTCTGTCCTGTAAACGCCGCGCCCAGGTATGCTCGCTGCTCGGAGGAGAGAGAAGCGAGGCAGGCGACGAGGGAGGTCTTGCACGGGTCCCCATCCCTTGCCAGGCGGATGACCTCCTTGTAGGGCAGCAGCTGTGACATGTCGTTGAGCTGCTTCTGGGTCTGCTGCGCCTCGGATGCTGTCTTGTAGTGCTGCGCCACCTGCACGGCCAGCTGCGCCCGTGCTTCAGGGTCCTGTGTCCCGTCGAACTCTGCTGCAGCAGCCTGAGCGGCCGCAATGTTGTGGTTGACGACGCGGTTGGCATGACTGTTGAAAGCTGACTGGTCGGACGCCAGGCGCTGTCCTCCTGCCGCCTTGAACATCGATCCCCACTCCGGCACAGCGTCCAGGACGTCCTCCCGGTCTGCTGCGAGGCCGAGCATATCGCTGAAGGGTCCCAGCAAGCCAGGGGCAGCGGTCAGGTCGGCTGCCAACAGGCCTCCGGTGGTGGCTTGGCCCAGCGAGCGCTGGAGGGGTGCGTTGAAGAGGTGCGGCGGGGGGGGCGCATGCCGAGCTACTACGACACCAGCCTGGCGAGGGGCCTCAGGTCGAACGGCCGCTGGAGGGCGGGGTGCCGGCCAGGCGGCTGCGGCCGCCTGGGTAGGAGCTGCGCCGTGGGCGGGCTGCGTCTCGAGGTTGCCGATGATCGTCCGCGCCAGCTGGTTGTACCCACCGTTGTCGACTATTGTTTCAAGGTCAGAGCCCGCCGGAACACGAGCCCCCTGAGCTCCGCCCTCCGCGGTGCCCTGGACGCGACCGTGCTGACCCGGCCCACCCGAGCCACCCGGTCCCGCGTTGTCCAACGCGGGGAGCTCACCTGCGTCCTCCTCGCCCACATTTGGGAGGGGGTGCCAGCCTTGCAGCGGCACACCGGAGACGAGCTGAAGTTTACGCTCCTGGATCGCGAGCCGAGCGGCATCGCGAGTCTTCAGGTCCGTGACGGACGGGTTGGCTCGAAGGAGCCTCGAACGCTGTGCATCATACTTGCGCCGAATGGACTCGATTTTGGCTGTGTGGGCCTCTTTGGCTGATTTCGAGGCCCGCGCGGGCAGATGCTGCTCCTGCTGTCCGAGGTCTGTCGCCAACGCCTCGTCGATGGCCAGGAGCTGATCTTCTACCCGTTGCAATATGTCTATTTCATCCGATGAAAGCGGTGGGAAGGAGACCAGCTCTCGGTCGCAGTCGGCGGTCGTGCGCAGATGGTCAAAGGGCGGCATGTCTACAGCAACCAACACCGGAAGAACTGACGAACTGAGCTGCGGATGATAAGACCGATATGACCGAAATGAGTTGAAGATTACAAAGAAAGGTCGCCTTTTTGCTCCGTATCACCACAGGTTTTGGGGTCGATCTGTGGGTAAGCGGGTACCGGTTTTACGGGTGCCTGAAGGCAGCCAGTGTGTGCAATAATTGCCTGGAAATGTGGCAAGTCGATGGTGCGGAAATCAGGTGGCAGAGGACACGACAGTGGAGGAGGAAACGACAGTGCTGCAGCTGGCCTTCAAAACCTGGAAACCACAAGCAAAGCTAAACTATCGAAATAGTTATAACGGACCCAGCAAGCTTCAAGAAAGGTTGTCAAAGAAAAGAAAAAGGTCGTCAAATTCACACCGCTGACCAACGGACAATAACAGCGGCAGCTAGCAGCTGTTCTGGTAAAGAGAGCTTGTATCAACTAGCAGTCGAGTCCGAGATCGCCCGGAAGATAATTCGACAAGACTAAACACCACCGATCAAATAGCAGTTCAAAACAACCAACTAACTGCACCGTACAACGCCGCTCTGACGCCCCTCTTCAAACCACATTTTCGGCTACGCCTAAAATAAGATTTACATTCACGCTAGTAACGGACGAATACATAAGCATTCATTTACCTTGAAAGAATAAAGGAATTCTATAGCTTCTTACAAATTCGCCTATCAGCAACTCTCCCTGGTCGTTCAAAAGTTGCTTGAAGATTCTACCATCTCCATACTATGAAGGAGCGCTTCTTCATTTCTTCATTTTATCTGAACCTTAACGTATCCTTCCAACACAATGTCCATGGACAACGGTAATGAGGTCGGCGCCTACGAGTTTGACCGGAACGCCCTGGACAACATCGCCCGTCGGCGACAAGATCGCCCGCGCAAGAAATACAGCCAGCATCGTCCAGTGGATGAGTTTGGAGTACATACCATCCTTGCTTTCGGAGAATGGGGAATGATGCTGCGAGCGCGTTCAACAAAATCATGTGCGAGAAGTAGGTACACGGAATGCCTAGGTACACAGGCTCCCAGGTACACAGGCTCTCAGAATCCCAGGCTCCCAGGCACACATGCCCTCAGAATTCTAGGTTCCCAGGCACACATGCTCTCAGAATCCCAGGGTCCCACGTTCCCAGGTTCCCATGCTCCCACGTTCCCAGGCTCCCAGTTCCCAGGCTCCCAGGTTCCCAGGCTCCCAGGTACACATGCTCTCAGAATCCCAGGCTCCCAGGCACACATTCCTCGCATTCCTTCCATCCTCTCCCTCCTATCTTTTACGTCAATTACATCCCTCGTGTCCTTGTGGACGATTTGTACATTAACGTTGCAGATGTGCTTTCTATTATGAACGATTAACTCCTTACACTTCTCTACCTGCAGTATTCGAGTACAAGGTTCTATGTTTGTTACGACGTTTTGACCGATGTTCTATGCTTGCTGCTTCACGTTGTCATGTTTTCTGGTTTCTGGGATGCGTTGGGAAGATCCTGAGCTTTGTTGTCGGAAAAGACAAACACGGCAATACAAGCAACATGAACGTGCTCTTCACCCTCATGTCTTCCCTTTCCTCTCCCTCCCCTTTCTTCTTTCCCTCCTTTCCCTTCTCTCTTTCCGCACCCTCCTTACCCTGAAGGCGACTCCTCTCCTCTTCCTATACTCTCTCCTCCTCTTCCTCGCCTTACTGTGAATACTTTGCTCATTAATTTTGCAGACGGACAGCTTGGTTTTAATGCGCAACTCCTTACACACTCTTCCTGCAGTTCTCGAACACAACGCTCATTATTGCTAGTTCTTTTTTTTGTTTCTTCTTTTTACTTGACGCTTCCCTTTGCCATTCTTTTGGATGTCATATCCCATATGCCTGCTGTTCGGCCACTCCCTTACACTGCACATCTTTCGGACTTCTGCGCCCTTCATTTTACCATACTTTCCATATTATTCAATAAAACCTCGCCATCTGGCCCCGAACGCAGCGCCTTGTTTTACGGCGTTCCTTCCGAGCATGCTCGTCCATTTCATCCAACATCTAGGTTCTTGCCCACCTTTTAGGTGGGCAAACCAATGGTTGCCGTTGGTCAGGGTCGTATGTGAATGAGGGCGCGATTTAGGCGACGGCCGACTTCCTGCGAATGCGATTGTTACAGTGGACCCCGAACGGGTCGAGTGCAGCGCCTGCGCCGCACTTGCCGCACTTCAGGACGAGCACTTAATGAAGTACAATTGAAACAAGTACTTGCCGCTTTGCGCACAGCATAACTTACATGAATGATAATAATAAATATCATTTCGATGTCACGCACTGCACCCTACAGAAGACCGCCGCCGGCCGTAAGTACAATCAAAACCTTCAGTTGTCCACCGAACACCAAAGACTACTCAGAAAACTACTTCATCAATCGATTTCAAAAGTAGTCATCTTTAATAGTGAATAAATGATGTTGGCCCAACAAGTAATAGCCATCTTCCCTGAGAACATCAGATTTTCAGATTTTCTTGAATATTTCCCGCATGGAAAATATTATGTAATGTTTCCCTTATGTCTTCGGCTGGCGACTCACATTGGCCATATCTCAGGATAGACGAGCATAGGAACCCTAATACCCTCAGCGTTTGTACTTCCGCCGTAACCCATAAAGTTCAATACACCTTCTTAGCGCATTTCACTCATCAAGTCCTGTGTATCAATGATTGGCCCACCTCGCTAGTCGTCAAAATTTCGACGGACAGCAACTGAACCTAACTGGTTCCGGACGTACACTTCCGCCCCATGAGCTACGGCATGACTTACGGCCGTAACCCATGCGGGCCTTAAAAGCTAGTCCGCAGCTCATGCAGGCTTTTATGGCAAGCCAACAGACACACTTTTGCGTAAGTGGTCGTTAAAAGGTGGCTGCGGCTGCGTGTAAAGGTATGTTCCTGCTGTCTGGGAGTAGTTTGTCCAGCCATGCGCGCTTCCTGCTGGAAATATAACACAATCTCACGCACGCACCAAGTGACGTGTGTTGTCGTTATTGCCATCGTGTCGCTTTGTTTGATTGTATGCTTCCTTATACATGTAGGTATCCAGCAGCAGGGCAACGAAGGCCAACACAAGCGGCCTCCGAAGATCTGCTTGCTTTATGGTAGGTCTGGGTGACTTGCTGCTGCTGATTATTGGATTTGTGGGGTGTACACATGCAGTTTCTGTGCGCGCGTGGGTACAAATGCAGTTTCTGTTTGAATTGCTTGCACTGCTATATTTACCAGTTCACATGCTACGTTACGTTAAGACTTTTTGGGAAAAGTGGTCGGTTCGGACATGGTAACGGTACGTTACCGGTAAAGTGGACGAAAAGTCTAAAGTGACCCGGGGGGGGGGGGGTGAATTTCGACCCCTCGTACCGTTACCTGAATTGCGTCGCCAATTTCGCGAGTTATAACAAACAGCCAAGCCCAATCGCTTATAAAGACCACATATTTGACAAATTGTGCGCGCTTTGCACTCCGACCGAATTTCTAGTCACACCGCTGCAGTTTATTTTGGAAAATGAACAAGGACAACGCCGCTCGTGTTGCTCGCCCGCGCACGACCCCTTACATAGCCAATATGTAACCCATTGTAGTATCAGGGCTGAAGCCATCCGCGAAATGGCAAGTCGGCCGCACTTCCGGCGGCATGGGCCGCGCCGCGTCGGCCCAAACGCGCAAGCACTGCCATTGAGAATTGAACATATCCTCAAGGTTGGCAAAAATTACATCCATAGCGGCCGCTAGGGCAAACGCCATCGCGGCTCGCGCGGGATGCAGTGCCATTCAGAGGTCGGCAAATCCGGTGGGTCCTGCGGGTCCGTAACACAGTACCCGCAGCCGAAATTCGGCTTAAGGCCCCGGCTGCGGGACCCAAATGACCAAAATTCGACCGAAAGACGTGATTGAAGCCTCTATTGCGGCCCGTAGGGCCGCGCGCTGGACTCGAACTCTGTGTTTGACTTTGTAAAAGAATGTCACGACCACCTCTACACAATTCGGTGACGGTTATCACTGATACATTATTACATTTCTAGCGTCTGTACCGATGACTTGCAGCTGCCGCAGCACTTGACTTGGTCAATTGTGGACTTTGGCATACCAGATATTGGTCCCATGTGGCCTATCCTATACATAATCTTCATCATATTGCTTGTATTTTTAACTGCTGACCGCGGCATCTCGCCGGGGAACGAAGGAAACGCGTGCAGAATTTTCCAGCGGTCGACAACGCACGTTGGCCGGCACGCTGACCGGTCGTAAAGCCACTGCTGATCCCCCAGCAACATATATTGAGGCGGAAGAGCCGTTACTTGGGCCATCGGGCAGCGCCGGTGAAGCTCTCCAGGTCTACTTTTCCCAGCACCACCACCTCCCACCTCCGGAAACGCCAGCACCGTGGCCCTTCCTCCACAGAAGAAAAGGCACACTCAAGCCAACACTGCCGCCACCGGTCCCAGTCAGCAGCCAGCACCTCTCCTGCCCACCACCCCCAACACCACCGCTCCCGAACAGCAGCCGGCAACACTCCTGCCCCCCGCCACCCCCAATGCCACCGCCAACCTGCAACCAAGCGCACCAAGTCCACCAATAAGATCGATGCCGTTGGTGTCCCCCCGGGTTTGAGCGGCCTCGTAATCCCAACGAGGACATTATTTGGCTGACTGACACTTGTGGTGGTGATTTCAAGAGCTGGGCCTATGCACTTCAGGGCTCGACGACGGTCATCTGTTTTTTTGCGACACACATAAGGAGAGTAACGCCACCATTTCCCGCACGAACTGGGATCGCTCAGCTTACACCCGGCACGAGGCCTCCTACTCCCACAAAGCGGCTGTAGTCCAGTACACGCAGGATCAGCAGCAACAGCAAACTGACAAGCACCTGGCCATGACCGAGGTTGCCGACAATCCCTTGTTGGCTCTGTTTTGTGGCGCATACATGGTCCTGTACCAAGCCATGCCTTTCACTCACTTCCCAACGATCTGTGAATACATGGACTGGCTTAAAGTACCAAACATCACCGGCTTAAGTTCAACGAAGGTCTTTTTGTGAAGCTGAGTATGTCGGGTCCTTGAAGAAGGAGGATGCAATGTTGAAGGGGGCGATGGCCAAGTACAAGTCCTCCACTAGGATGCACCTTACACGCATATCACCGATAAGGTCGAGAATATCCTTCACGCCCCGCGCTTCAACCGCATGCGGTCGGCGATGAATAGCTCGGGGGCGATGCTAACTTCATGGCGCAAGAACTTGCTTGGCAACGAACCCTTGCCCCCCCTGCAATGTGTACGGGACGTGGAGCCCTGAAATGCTGTCTCTTTTGGCGCCGGAAGGCGCCAAAATTTTTTTTAGGTTTATTGACCGAAATTATGCTCTCCCGCAGCCGTAGAAACCGATTTGCCGACCTCTGGTGCCATTGCTGTAGGCAGGGCTGCCAATAACCCGTCAATTATATATTGCGATTCTAAGGGGATGTGCTGAAGTTTTGGCCATTGAAAGACATAAAATGGAGATGGTTTACACAGCTCGCGCCAACGAACACAACGTCGTCGTAATGTCCCATGTGAACTGGGTGACTTTTTCAGGCCCACTTTTCCAAAAAAGTTTTCGCAACGTAACGTAGCATGTGAATCCAGTATTACAAACATAAATGCATGCATGTGTATTGCTCATAAACGTTTACAGTCGGTAAGAAACGTCCCTTACAGCATCTTCATCGCACATCCTCAAAATTGGTTTGACAAATAAGGAGTGTTCCACCGTTCATGTGTGGCAGCTGATGAGTTGCAGCAGCGGCACATCTTTCCTTGCTTGTCTGGCTCCACTTTACATGCGGGTGCACGTGTGTACAAAGAGCGGGATTGTGTAAGAGGGATCAGCTCCCCTGGCATCTCCCTGAGTACTCTTTGCCTGGTGTTACATTGGTGCGAATTGCTAGGAGGTGGGAACTCCCCGGATAGAATCCGGTTGCGAACATATCGCACACCAGGCAAGATGCAGCATACTCTTACCCCAAAGATGGATGCCCGGGTGGGCGAGAAGTCTACCAGCTGAGTAAATACAAAGTCCTCCATCTCGGACGGAGACTGACGAAATGTTACAATAACAAACATACTCACAATCCTACGGGATCTCAAACAACCAAAATCCTACGGGATATGCCCGGGGGCGCCCGAGGACATTCACTCGAGGGGGGGAGGGATAGGTACCTTCCTATCCAGTAGGAAGGTACCGACCAGCCCACCCTACCTCGCTACCTGGCAAGCATACATAGCATCCTCGAGCAGAGAGGCTTATGATGAGAGCGGGGAACGAATCATCACCAAAGCTTTGCCATTACATGATGGAAAGTATCACGCATCATATGATAGAAGGTATAATGCATTATACTTTCTCGTGCGTCTGAAACTATGCCGTCTAGTATCTAATTGCGCCATCCATTCTTTGCTTCAATGCTTCTAATAGCAGTTTTTTATCCATAAAATTAATCTCCTTGAATTTTAGTAAAGTTACCTTGAGATTTGAGTACCCTTGCAATATTACCAGGTTCTTTTATTGAAAAGAACATTTGCTTCTTTTACAGTTCCTCCTGTGCCTGTAATTTTATAAAAATCATTATAGATTGGCACTGAAGCAAAAGTGAGAAATAACATGCCAAAAATCAGTAATAATAAAGATGTTATGCCGCCACCAACACCAATTTGCTTGTTCTCTTGAACATATATGTATACCGTCGTATAGTATGTACGATAGTGTTATATCACGTCCGACGTGAGTCTATTCCAGGAAAGAACCGAACGGTGGATGCAGATCCCGTGATATGCCCAGGATACTACATGTAGGGAGCTCCCTATCTCGAGCTAATTTTGCCATAAACCAAGCCGCTCTGTTGCAACATTGCATACATAACCTGATGCATTCATCACCTTCCTGCTGTCATTACCTTCATCAACAACGATGAGGTACTTTACTGCGGAACGTATGTCGCTTGAGCAGCAAGATTACTAACACCTGCTAACAGCACTCATTATTGCAATGTGGGCAATTGCCCACGAGGCCATCTGCACATACATGTCTCCATTTTGTCTCCTGGCCTTCATTCACGCATGGGACATTCCTTTTTGCATTTTTATTGCCATACATGGTTACGTTAGTTCCCTGAAGGCCTGCCTACCCGTTATCTGCTGCAATATGTACGGCACGCAGGGCTAGCTGCTGGGAAAGTAGTGACACCGACATCAGCTTTAGCTACTCGTCTGTTTGGCTGCTGCCAGGGTAGCTAGCTGAGGCAGCCTGTACATACACACATCCGCAGTGTGTACTACACTGCGTGAATCAAATTCACTCGCACATCGAGCCACATATATGAATAAGTGCAGTAATCAAATTCAGGGTGTAACAAGTCAGGCGAACTACAAGAGCAACAATTAACTAGCCACTGGATTATAGAGTGAAGACATTGCAGCTACCAATGTTCGCCAGTACCTTGAAGGTCGTAATGGGCACACATCGTCATCAAGGTGCGGAAATAGCATGAGCAGTAGTCGCCTCAGCTGCCGCCAGCATAAGTGGAACTATGTCTGTTGCTGCCCGCCGACAGAACGACCATCTAACTGTGGCTTCCACCGATACTTCCCGCCGAGGAGGCTCTGCTTGCCCACCACCGCAAACGTCCTGCTGGTACTGCTGCCGGTGGTGCTGCTGCTGAGTGTGCAAAAGGGAGCAGCCAGCAGCTCATCACCACCGCCCCCTCCCCCGATGCCGCCCGTACCCAACTGTGGTCCGGTGACCGTCCTGTACCGTGATGGTGTCCCTGTCAGCGCTATTCGGACTCCCGTCCTTGCAGCAGGGACGGGCCAGGAGATCAGCACCGCGTTCATTTTGCAGGATATGGATACGGATTTCTATGCAGGATTTTACTTCAATGGAACAACAAACATCGTGATACGCTGGGAACAACCAGAAGATTGGATGACGAGTTTTGGCTTGTTATCCGAAGCCGAATTCAATGCATCTTACAATGGCAGTGCAGGCTGTGTTCCGCCAATCACATCCGGGGGTCCACTTGGCTATGTTCGAGTAGGCTCTGGAACAACAGTTACCTTCCCCATTTTCTATTCTACAAGCACCGACTACTCCAGCTTGATTCAACCCTGTGGGCCCCCAACAACATTCTACTACCTCGTGGCCCTGTTCAATGAAAACGACGGCAGCCTCGCTTGGGCAGCAACTGACTGGGTGGCTGCCAATAATGCTACCAATCCCATCTGCCCGGACTCCCCCACTGCCTGGGGCTATATCAAGTTCGGCATAAGCTACTGCCCCTGCCCGGCTCAGCCCCCGCCGCCAAGTCCCCCACCTCCGCCACCTATGCCGCCTGCACCATCCTGCGGTGTCATACTGACAACCAGCCAAGGTGTACCAGTGTCGGGTATCAGGGCCCCATTTCGTTCCAGCTGGACCGGAGAGGAGATCAGCCCGGCATTTATCTCTGTTCAACCTGACCCCAGCATCCCTGACCCAATTGCTGCCCTTGGCCTTCCAAACCTCGTGATTGAATGGCAGCCAGATAGTACCGTCTCGGTGTACGGAAACTTTTTCTTCGAGAGCCAATTTCAGAGCATGTATAATGGCAGCACCGGGTGTCGTGATATAAGCTCCGAAGTTAACTATGGTTTAGCACAATGGTGGCCGGGCCAAAACGTAACACTCCCTTTAGGGTTAATGTTTGGTGGTTTTGTGGTTAATTATTTTCCGTGCCAAGACGTTACGTTTTACATTATACTCTTTGCCAAAAGCATATTGCCCATGAATGCATCCAGCTCACTGCCCGCCTGGATGGCAACTGACTGGGTGGCTGCCAATGATGCTACCAACCCCATCTGCCCGGACTCCCCCACTGCGTGGGGCTATGTCAAGTTTGGCATGACTTACTGCCCTTGTTCGCCTCCCCCTAACCCTCCACCTCCACTGCCACCCAGCCCGGAGCCATCGCCCTCCCCACCATCGCCCTCCCCACCATCGCCCTCCCCACCGTCGCCCTCCCCACCATTGCCCTCCCCACCGTCGCCCTCCCCACCATCACCCTCCCCACCATCGCCTTCCCCACCATCGCCCTCCCCACCACCGCCCTCCCCACCACCGCCCTCCCCACCATCGCCATCCCCACCATCGACT